TTGACCAATTTCTTTAAGACATTTAGTCTAAATGAAGGAGCCATGAGAGAATAGTAGCTAATATTTACATTATAGACAAAGGTTAAACTGCAAGCAATGACAAATTCTGAATAACATTTTTCTAAGGCATCACAAGATGTCTTTGCCGAGAAAGTACTGCTCTTTTATAAAAAAAAAAAAAAGCAATCAGTTTCTTCAAAATACACAAGATAAATGTTGCATAATCAAGTGATTATTGAAGTAATAAGTTCTTGGTGTAAAACACTTATGCTTGAAAAGTTCAAAGTGGGATAGCAGGGTTATGTAGCCGGTGTATAATTTGTGCATGACAAATTTCTTTCTGCACTACGTGCACATATGAACATGAATAGGTAGTAGAAGTCAACCCTGCTATAGTGAGTTCCTATCAGATGACTTTTCAGCAGAAGTTAACAGGAATTGATTGAAAGCTATGAAATGGGACAAACATAAAAAATACTATTGAATTAAGATAGAGAAAAAAAAGCTAAGAAATATTATCTGAAGGCGTTCATTAACAGACTGCATAAACTGAGAAATATGATGGCTAACCAATTAGTTGTACAGAATCTAGTATTTAAAGAATTTGATAACAGAAATGTAGTTCATTAGAAGAGAATTGGATGAAAATTTAGAATGCAATATGTTCTGAATATTTTAAGATCTTAAGTCAAAACTTTGTTTTGTTCCATTTTACTTTCAACTCTGACCTTTATATTCAGAAATTTTACTATTCACTGTTACAATTGGTTTCAAAAATAAAATATTCAAATTTTCGTCAGTCTGATTCGCTTTAGAAAAAAAAAAAGTTCACCTGAAATTGTCATATCACAAAATTAGAATAAAGGATAAGCCATTAGTCCTATTCAAAAGATCGGAGAGGAGCGTAAACCGGGCGATAGGTGAACCTAATAGGAGTAGATAGGTTCACATTCCTTCCCAGTCCTTTGAACAGGAGTAGAGAAGTTTATACCGCGCTTCCTGCTTAAGATTGGTTTCCGGTTCCTTCTAAGAAGCCTTGTCTTTCTTTAGTAGTAGCTCCTTGAACCTTAGTGGCATTTTTACATCTCGCTTGGAGTGAATTAAAAAAAAAAAAAAAAAAAAAAAAGTTAGCAATCTTAGATTTTATGCTAGCGCTGAATGAAACCACCGGGACATACCAAATGCATTTATTAGCTGGTAGATAATATTGTGGAACTGTGCAAGAAGATGACCGATATGTTTGAGCCAAAAAACAAAGTCAAAATTGGAAAGCTAGCTACCTAACTACAATAAGTAATTTATTAAAAATTGATCATGTATCGAAGACGCCAGTTCTAGATTTTCTTTGCGAAAGAAAAAAAAAATGGAATTGACTGACTAAAAAAATGTTATAAAGACAATAATTCCCATTTGGTAGCTATTACTGTCATCCCATGCCAGGTCAAACTTTTACTAAACAATTACGGAAATTATGTTACATAAGATTTAGTTCTAAAGATAGGTTTTATTTTTATTTTTTTTTTTAGTGTTTAAGAGAAAGTTTAGGTTTGCAACAAGCAAGTTTTTCAAGCATTTTTCCAACACAGTACAATTCATTTATTGTAAAATTTATGTTTATAAAATTCATAAGTTTGTGGTGTTTGTAAAAATTAAAAACAGAACAAAAATAAGTTATTTTGTAAGAATTTTGTCGCTATGGATAATTAATACTAATAGTGGTATAAAGAAAACTAAAGTCATCAGCTGATTAAGTTTCACATGTCATGATAATTTGTTGAGTGAATGAAAAATAAAACCGTGAATAATTTAAAATTAAAAAATCTTAGGTGCACATCGTGCTAAAAGAATGAAAATAAATAAATAGAAGCAGGGTGTAACTAATTTCTCAGGTGAAGGTCACTTTTTTTGTACCACGTTGGATAAGAAGCAAGAAAGTGAAAGCTATCATTCATTCGATGGCAATCGAGAATGAAGATTACATTAGAAGGGGTAGTAGTGGTAGGATTAAAAATAATGCATGTACAGCAATAGAGTAGTTGGCTGATGTTGAGAAGCGTTATACCTCATGACAAAGAATGTGTGTGTGAGTGTGAGAGTGTGTGTGAGTGTGAGTAGGAGCATTTGCCCATGACTCCTCCCCTCTATTTGGTCGGGCCAAAAAGTCGGGAAACGAATGGACAGTCATACAATTTCTTGCATAGCTGGTAGATGACTCAAACAACCAAGAACAATATGAAGCTCCACAAAATGAAGCAAACGGGAATGTAGAAATTCATTTATCGTCCAAACGGGATGATAAATTATTTAGTAACAAAAATATTAATTTAAGTATTTTTTCTGTTTTTCTTCACTAAAATAAAATTATAGCTTGCAGAGATTCACAATATTTTTTTTTTTTTAAGCTAATTTTTTAAAATTAGCTTTTAGTTTTCTTTATCGTAATTTATAGAAACTTTATTTCTATAAAAAGTAGACGAGCTACTTAAAGACTATGGGTCCGGTAGTCATATGCGCAGTTGTCAGAAAACGAGTTGTGATGAAAAAAAATGGGAGATTTCAATCTGAGATAAAAAGGCACTTTTTTTCTTAAGGAAAGAGACAGTTAAGGTCACAAATATTTAGCTATGATGGCAGAAAAGAAAAAAAAATTTCTTTAAATACGATAGAAAAAGAAAAGCAAACCCTGGTAATCGACAGACTAACAAACAAAAGGGTCGAGTTGAAAGAAAGTAAAGAAAAGAGGATTATTAACATAAAAAAAAAAAAAAAAAATTTGCTGAATCCCGTGAAATATCTCCGGCTTTATTTTATTTTTTGTATACACAACTGTAGAAGTTAGAACATTCTTTAAAAGAGAAATAAGACGCCTTAAATTATTATGCAGTTTTTAAAAAAGATTTTACTTTTTATTTGGATCGAAAAAAATCTTTGTTTATTCCCCGCACACCAATAAAAAGATTAAGAGAATTCATCAAAATTGTTTTGATAAAATATTTTTTAAAAATAAAAAAAAATTTAATAAAAATACGTAGCACTAGTTTAAGACAAATTTTAAAACCGGTAAGGAATGGATGAAGAGAGAAAGAAAGAGACTAAACATTGTTGCCAGGAAGTTAGTAGTTCGCATCCAATACTTCTAGTTCCAACGAGAAATGGTTTTAGGTTGAAGAGATGGCAGAGGGGATGCAATCAAACAAAAGAGAAAAAAAAAATGGGTGAAAATAAGATGAAGGACCGCACAATTGAGAATAATTATTTTTTAGGGGGATATTTTTTTTAAAGCGTGCGTTAAACAAACACAAAATTCTATTATTGAATATTTATTTAAAATAAAACATCCCCTGCCAAGATGACAAGCATAACGACCACTACTATTTTTCGATGATGAATTCTTTAAAAGCCTATTTTTGACAGATGGAAACTTTGTTAGCTATGATGGGAAAAGTGATACTAGTGTAACAGACTCGTGAGTGATGCGTACATAGTTACAAGATACAAGCAAGCTTCTTGAAGTGGTTCAATCATAAATTATGTTAATCTATAATCGTCAAGGAGTGCACGCTAGTAAAAATCAGAAATACAAAAAGGTTTTATTTCTTCGGAAATGTGTTACAACGTCAATAAATGAGGGTGTGGTGTATATATATAAAAAAAAAAGATGAATGCGTGCGTGGCTTCAAAAATCACACGAATGAAAATATCTCTACACAAAACAATTATTCACATTGTTAGTCATTTTTGAGATGTGTGGGTGGCGATCCTGATCAGTATCATTGATACTTTTCCGAAAAAGATTCACATGCCAAACTATAATATGGTAAAAAAAAAAAAAAAAAAAAAAAAGAAAATTTTCACTTTACTACATCTCTTCGTGATGTAACTGATAATGTTAAATGGGGTAAGACGGTTGCTCACGTGAGCAAAATCAAACTGCTCAAAAAGACAAAAACTATTTTTAATAAATTAGTTTTGTAATTGATGTTAAAAGCATTGAAATGTATATATGCCTCTGCTTAGAGTTTATTTTCAAAATATTGAAAGAAACAAAAAACTGAAATATCCAAAAATTGGATAGGTTTCGGCGAGTAACATGAAGTAACGAGACGAGAGTCGCGCATCTAAGAAACTGCGATCATTTTTAACTCATCGCACACACGCACTTCCAGTATAAGAGAAAACAAAACTTAGAATAAGGTAGCTACAAAAGTACTGTCAGTAAGTATGGATTTTGAGAAATTTGGTAATTTTTAAAACCGTAGATTTTTTTTCGTAAAAATCGGAAAGACGTTAGATTACTAACTATAAGAGAAATAGTCGTAATTTAGATATTTTTGCAATTTATACGCAGTCGTGTGCCCAATACTGAGCATACAGTTATCATCGTGCGCCAATTGGGGATGGCGGACTCAAAGGAAAAAATTGCGAATATAAAATAGTAATAAGTTTCGAATAATTCTCTAGTCCTAAAATTTGTCTTGTTCTTTTACAATTAAAAGTGCATAATCTTTTTCTTCCGAAAAAGATGCGATACCCAGTAGTTGTCGTTAACTGAATTTTTAATCAATGAAGCAAGGAAAATAAGTTCTGAACTTAATGAAAAACTGCCATTTTTGGACAAATCTGATCATGTATTGAGGCTTATGAAGAAAAAAAAACTGCGAGAAAATCTTAGTTTTTAGATCCTTGAAATAAAGATACCAGTTTTTAAATATTTTAAGAAAAGTTTATTTTTACTTTACCATTATTAAAAAATATTGAGACATATCGGCCACTGAGATAAAGTGATCGCGAAACAGATTATTTTGCAATGGATAGAGAAAAAGTGATTTTATGATTAAAAATGCAGACACATCTGCAGTAGAGATAATGAAAATTGAAACCGGTCGGTTCCGCGCGCATTAAAATATGGAGTCATAGTCTTTCTTTCATCAATTTTTTTTAAACATTGAAAAATATTTTTATCCATTCTCCAGATTTACAACTATAGTCATGCCTCCTACCTTTAGCTAATTCCTCAGGAATTAAATGCTTATGGTCCTCAGATACAGGTTCTCCGATAACAAGAAGTAAAGCAGCTTTGGTAGCTGCTGCCGATCCAAAATCCTCCATCGTCGCCTGCTCCAGTGCAGCCATAGAATGGCAGGTGCTTGATGTCAGTTACATACATGCAAGAGAGTAGGAGGCGCCAACCCTCTATATGTAACGCTTTATTTTATTGGTCCATTCAATCAAGACAGCGGCAGCAGATCGGCGTTGACCAATCAAAAGAGACGACACTCAAGAATCACAGTGTTATGTATATGTGTATCTCACTCCCGATGTGACCGGCAAAGCACGGAACTCGAGGTAGATATCTCGCTATCTATATTCGACTACACTGCGTATATTTACATAAATGTACATTGTTAGCTTAGTAGTACGTTTCGATTTTGTGGGAAAAGATGATTTTTGCGGATAAGATGTTTTGTTGTACGGCAACATATAAAACGCTTTCGGTTTCATTTTAACTTCGGTTAATAATTTCCAACTATATTGTCACTTTTTATGGAAACATCTTAAACTGATACAGAGTCGAGGTACCAAGTTGGAGAAGCCCAGACGAGACAATTTTTATTATGGATATGGATGCACAAACGTAACGCTAAAAGTGACTTGTAATTATCTCTAGATTCGTTTGTCGAATTAAGTTATCGTCGGAGTTGAAAAACAACATTAAAATAACTCGTATTATGTTTATCTTGTATAAAAACTGAAAAGAAAGTTATTTTTTAGGTATGGCAAAGCGTGTTAATTATCTGCGATTGGCCTTCCGTAAAATAAAAAGTAGACGATTTGCACTTGATTTGGTATGAGTATTTTACGAAGGAGTGCCTAGAGAAAACTTTATTGGTTTATCGACGTTGGAATTAAATATTTCGGTATATGATCAGACTTTAGAGTAGACTGTCACCATTCATGCTATGAAACGTTTAGTTTTTAATTTTAGTTTATGAAAAAATATATTTTCATTCATGTTTGGTAAAATAGTTTGTACACTACAGGCGTCGATTCTCGATGGTTATGTTTAGTTTGGTGTTGATAGAATTATTAGAAAAAAATATTTATAAACTTATAAGCAATCATTTGAAATAACCAGCAAATTAATGAATAATCTTAAAAATAATTTAGATATTTTTATTCATGTATTTATTTAAAGTATTTTATTAATGCTAAAATCAAGAAACGTATCTCTTTGTTAGTCGAATTTGTAAAACAATTGAAAAATAATGTCGATGCTGACTTCAGTTTTTAACTTACAGAATGTTAATATTTGGACAGTTTACATATTGCTATACGGTTTTAAAGTAAATAAATGAAAAGAGACTGGAATCTGATGACTAAACTCTTGCAGAAGGCTGGAGATTGACGTGAAGGGTGGAGCCGAATTCCGAATATTCTGCTAGGATTATTAAATTTAAAACAAAAATTTAATTTGTTTTTTCTTTTTACGATAATAACGGAACGTGCTTTAATTTTATAATAAATAAGTAAAAAACCATTTGAAAAGATACTGGAATCGTGGTAATATGAAAACTGCCTATTGGAATTGAACAATAACAATTGGCTATGGTTATTATTATTAATAAATGAAATAAAGACTAGCAAATTATTTGGACCTTCATTGAAAATGAAAACGTGAACAAAGATGAAATATTCAATATTTTATTTTTACCCATGGTGATGATAAGGTGCTTGATACAACTAAAACGTTTTTTTATTTAAATTAAAAAAGAGGAAGAATATGTATTAAAATTTTATATTCTCCCTTTCTTTTTTTATTTATTTTAAACAATATTTCGATTGTTGTTTTCTCTGGTCATCATGATTGGGTATTGTACTCAAACCGTAAGGAAAATAAATAATGCTCAGTTCATATCACTTGATGGTAATTGGAGTTTGTGAGAGTAATAATTTTAAAAAAAAAGTAATTCGAATATGGACATTTAAATTTCATTTTTTTTTAAATGAAATACTGAAAATTTAATTTACTAAATTTTATTCTAAAAATAGATAATTTATTTTGGAAATGTTTCTTGAAGAAAACTATACTAAAAAAATTTCATTTAAAAATTCTAAAATTTCAGTTTTTATGACTGCAAAAAAGTATATATTTTTTAGCAATCATAATTTTTTTCATGGATATAAAAATAACTTATGCTGCCTTTAGTTTTAAGTTAAAACTTTTTAACTAATAAAAATTATTTGAATAAGCAAGTTTTTAATTTACGTTAAATTAGCATCAAATTTAGATTAAAATTATAAACATTTACAATATATTGCTTATCAGTTTTCTTATTTTAAGGTTGGGCAAACATAAGCAACTTAATGCAGCTGTTCTTTTGAACTTCAACACTTGGACTGAATTATTAGTTTATGCATTTTTTCATTAAATTCTTTGAAAGTACTCTTAGAGTGTTTATCATTGCAACTGATTCTTGGAGTAGATTTATACTGTTTTTCTTACACAGAATACAACTGTGGCTTTCACAATCATTTGGTATTCATTATTTTTGGGTTTCTGATATTAAAGTTTTGAAGTTCAGACCTGACTCTTCAAAGATCATTCAGTAGTCATGGTTTAAAAAGCATGTACTTTTTATTCTTTAATCCTTTGAACCCTGTGTTCTTGAACAATTTCAGCCCTTCTGCCTGAGCTCCTGAGTCAAAATTCGCAAATAATTGGTATGTAATGTTTCACAGTAGATATAAAAGTAGTTACAACTGGGAGCTGAGCATTAAGTCATTTTTCTCTACCACTGTTCAACCGGTGATTGGGCATTACGTCATTTTTCTTTATCACCAATAAAGCGATGGTCAGGGCTCAAAGGGTTAACTGATAAAAAAAACTATAATGATCCCAACTAGGTATCATATGAATGTTCCTTAAAACAAATTTTGCATATGTCATAACGGCAAAATTGTGAGGCACACTTTACATTGTTTACAATTATAGATATAAAACGAAATTAGTGAAATAAACTATGAATCTGTAAGATCTTTCTTCATACTAAAAGTACAAATGTGGAGTTCATATAGGCAGACCAATTTTAGTCCAATTTATAGATAGTCTAATTTACACCCTCTATGTCCTTAATTTCATGTCAACAAAAACCAACATTTTCCATGTAATTCCCTTTTGGGAACTATTCTTCTCAGTCCCTTTGTGTATTTTATTTGGTTAATTATTGTAATTCAATTCAGTATATGAAATCTTGGAATTTTGGGTCTTCATTCCTTCTACTTCAAGTGTGTAGTCTCTTCATAATGTTCAATTAAAAAAAAATATACCTACTTCCACTAAGTGTAATGCTTTCTACACTCACCTAACACACACTGACCCGACTGTTACAAGTTAACATAAGACCCACATTCATCTATTAATAGTATAAAAACATTCTAGCTGCACCATTAAAAGACAATAAAACACAAAATTCAATTTGAGAAGACTGGAACATTCAGCATTTACCTATGGGCACTTTTATGTGACTTTTTCCAGAGCCATAGTATTGAGAAATAAAAGAGTTACATAGATAAGCAGAAGTTATTAGTAAAATAGAAAAAAACAGTATCATCCATCATGAAATTTATTGATAACCATGTTTTCAATAGAGATGATAAATTAAGATTTCAATATTGTATTCTGAGAAGAATTCTCTGTTGGGTCTTATGCTTATCATTTTAATTTGTTGTCTGGGTCGTTGACTTATCCAAATCATAACTTGAAATGCAAATATATGTGCTACAATTGGGTATACTCATCTTTTATGGTGATGATATCTCATAGTCATGTTATTAGATTTGTTGATGCAATCAAGATTACAAAAAATATGTCTCCCATATGTGTCTATCCTGGTGTTTGTTTTATGTATACATTACTTGCCATCTTTTTCTCACTCCTTTTTTCTTTTTAAATACACTTCTGCCACATGATATAAGTTCCCTGTTTTTCTTTTCACAATTTCTTTGTTTTATGTTCAAGGAAGGTTGATGGCAAATGAAAAGAATACATCTTTTTCTCTTACATATATAACCATCCTCACCAGATAGTGGAAAAGGAACAAAAAGAATTGGAATCATTACTTTTATATTTTGTTTACTCTAAAAGGACAAGACTGTTTTCTGGGTTTACTTCATTTGTTGCATTAAAAAAAAAACATGCTTGGCTCAATGCAAAGTGACAAACTGGACAAGCTCATTGCAATATTGAAAACACTAATTTTCCACCAACCCTAAAAACTACTGATGTAATATTGTCATAAGATTTTTAGCATTGAAATTATTTCTTACTGAGAGATTTTTTGGGAAATCTTTTCTCTGGTTATTTACTGTGATAATATTATGTACAAACATGTTTTGGAGGATTACTTTTGTTCTTTACTTCTTTCCTTTATTTCAATATGTATGTTGGGTGGCATGTAGAAATATTTAAATTGGAGTATTTTTAACAATGTGTTTTGTCTTTTCAGATCTTTAGTTATTTTATTCTTTTTATTAATTCATGTTGTAATTGACATCAAGTGACTTGCAATCATTCAAATGAATAAGTTATTGCAAGATTGTTGATATGTTAAATTTTGTTTACTGACAAAACTTACTTTGAACAATTTGAAATAATCAAATTTTACCAGCTGTATTTTTACTTTTTTGTGGGGGGTAGTCTCTTCTTTATCTATTGAGGCAAAGGTTGTTTAACTGAATAGTGTAGGAGCATATGAAATATGCTAAGATGGAAACATTTAAAGTTAGATTTGAATGCTTATTACACAGTCATGAGCTTTAAACATGATATCACACTTTTTCTGAAAAATATCTGATATTGTAATAATCAATGCATTGTTATGAAGCATTGTAAAGCGGTGATTAAATATACTCACAAAATGCCTTAAATCTTCTTTAAATGTTATGTCTCCACCACCACCCCACACTCTAAATGTAATGTCTACTAAAAATTGTGTGACAAAAATGTCAGGAAAAAATCAGTTGTCAATCTTTACAGTTTTGAAATTATTGATTATAAAAATGAAATATACTGCTATCAAGTATTGGATATCCGATATGAAAATAAGAAA